TTAGATGTTCACCTTTATGTATACTTTTGTCACTGATAATTGGTTTGCTATTAATAATAACTATTATTATAGTTCCTACAATAATTCTAACAAAGTCAAAAACAATAAAAATTAAACGTAAGATATAATATGAATAAAGACAGTTAAGTAAAGTTCCTTGTTTTTATGTAAATAGCTACTAACGCTGTATTACGTTGGAATTCAGTGGGCATCACGGTTGCTGGAATTACGGGACTTACTGGTACTGCTGCTGATCGTTTAAATAATCCGTTTAGTTTGGCAATCGATTATGATAATACACTTTATATTACTGATTACGGATGTCATAGGGTTCAATCCTGGCTTAGAGGAGCATCGAACGGATCAACTATTGCCGGACAAAAAAATTGTACGGCAGGTGGAAGTTTAAATCAGTTTAACCTACCTACTGGTATTATCGTTGATTCAAATAGTAATCTGTACATAGCAGATTCTCAGAATTCACGAATTCTTTTTTGGCCTAGAAATGGTACTTCAGGAAGAATAGTCGCTGGCAACGGTGAGTGAATAAGAAAAATATTTAATTAAATAAATAGTAAATCTTCATCTTTTCAGGTACTGCTGGTACTACAAACAATGCATTGAGTTTAACATATGGGATTTCACGAGACTCGAATTCGGATACACTTTATGTAGCAGATTATTACAATCACAGGATAATGAGCTACATGTCAAATGCAACTTTTGGAACTGTGGTTGCTGGCGGAAATGGTGGTGGAACAAATTATACACAATTATATTATCCTACAAGTATTTATTTCGAAGCATTATCGAATAGTCTAATCATTGATAATTATGCAGCGAACAATATTGTTCGATGGACAATAGGTGATAGTAAGTGGACGTTGCTTGCTGGTAGTATTAATTCATCACCTGGTACTACGTCTACACTTCTTAATTCTCCTGTTGGTATAACGTTAGATCCAATGGGAAATATGTATGTTGCAGATGCGGGAAATCATAGAATTCAATTCTATCCATCAAATCAATCGATTGCTTCAACCATTGCCGGTGTTACAAATTCACAAGGTTCCAATGCTACTCATCTGTCTGCTCCATATGGTTTAGCATTGGATAGTCAACTTAATTTATATGTAGCTGATACCAGTAACAACCGCATTCAAAAATTTGTACGCTATTAATTAAAAATGTCACTTTCATTCATGACTTTATAAACTATTTGATTTCACATAGTATTGTTTAGTGTATGCAACATTAGTATAAATAAAAAAGACAATTGAAATAATTTATTCTTGTTATTAATCAAATATATGATGAACTGATAATAATGCTTTTGCTTAGTTTTCTTCTCGCTAAGAAAAAGACATGAGAACTACTAAATTTAAGCTTGAAACAAGCTGCACTAATCAGCTTTTCTCCGAGTAACTATATAAACAATATTTGTTGTTAATAATAGAAATATGGATATATTTATCTAAATGCAAAAAGCAATGTATGAGTTAGTGTATGAAGCGATAGTCATTTTATAATTTTAGTAATTGAAATATGGATATATTTATCTAAATGCAAAAAGCAATATATGAGTTAGTGTGCGAA